ATAATATATTAACCTGTCCATTCTATCCCCAGAAAAATTTACTTGTTATAACCATTTCATACAAGCATTTGTGCATCCAGGCCTTGTCCTATTACCCTCCAAGTGTGTGGCATCCATGGAATTGGTAGCCATGTAAACGGCATAATCCTAGCTCCAATGCAGAATTCCTCCAAGTGGAGATGACTCCTGAAGGAACCAGACATGAACAGAGCCCTATTATATCCCCACTGAAAGCACTACTCGAGAGAGAAAGTGCAGAGAAAGCAACACAAGGCAAGAAAGGAGGTGGGCTGAAAACAACTCTACTGCTAACTTGTATAATTTTTTTTCCTAGTCTCTCTGCTCAGTCAATATTTGTGGTATTCTATCATGTTTTAAAAAATCCCTAATATTCTCTTTAAGTGATGCTAATTTTGGGACAAAGTACTGTTCTCAATATGGTACCATATACCATCTCAATTTGCTGAAGAAATCTTACAGTGTTCATTTGCTGATGATACACACTAGCATAATTGAAGTGTTGTTTAGGTTTTTCTTAGAACAGAGCAACTTCACACAAATTTCACTATATCCATGAAATTAAAAATAATAATAAATAATACAATGTCTATCAGGTAGTGAAGGACCAATAACAAATGAGTGCTTAAAAGCAGTGTTACAATTTTGGTGATCAGGGATTAGCAGATACAATGTTCAAAAATGCATAAAATACAAATAACAACGAATAACAATATACTGGATATACTGGACCAGATACATATTCTGGTCTGACCATACGGCCTTCAAGAGAACCATTTATTAGCCACAGGAACAGTAATACAACAAATGAAAATACTAAGTGACAGGAGTGTAAAAATATTACTTTCAGGAATGGCTTCTCAAATGGACCTATCAACCATGCTGATTTATTTATCCAGGTAATAATCTGTCACACAGGAATTAAAAAAAAAGATGCCCAAGAAATTGTATGTTATATTGATAGGTGATTTTTGCACACTGCAGCCCTGATATAGATGATATAGATAGAGCTAGATAGATGATAGATAGATAGATAGATAGATAGAT